GAAACCTTTTTTTTCGTTCAAAGTACCTTTTTTGGTTCGGTATCGTACCATTTTTTTTCCAGTGTACCTGTGACTTTTTGACCCCTTTCAAAGAAAGTTAGAGTTCCTTTTCAACTGCTGTTCGACATACTACCTACAATTTCTCAAACTCGTTGTCGAACCACTGCGAAGATAGCATGAAGAATATAAGTTGTTTTATTTGGCTTCAACCTTTTTATTTATGCGTTCTGCATTATTATAATTGGCACATGCTCAATTCGAAAGGGCAGCTTTCATGACAAGGTTTTCGTTTCTATAAAGATATGTTTTACGTATGGAGGATATGTATATATATACGTCGACGAATATCTGTGTTTGACTTATACACAATTCTGTCTCACTAGTGATGGTAAATTTATGTCATTTTACCTACAATCTTCCGTCTTCTTTTAATGAAAATCCTTCAGTCCTTATACGGCTAAATATTCATTGTTGATCATGTCATTATTTAAACTAAACTTCTACTTCCCATTTGCAATAATTCAGATCTACTGTAATATTATGTCATGCGGTTAATTTATCTATGATTGACAAGTGAGAAAAAAGAAGATTGTCCTCGCTTATCTCAGAAGCTAATTAGATGAAACAAATATTTTGTTTTTCGATGAAGATATAATGATCGACAGGCAGAAGTGTACATGAATACTAATAACTGCGAAGATTTTGAAAAAGTAAGGAAGTTTTTTGCGCCAATGTGGTATGATCATAGAAGAACGATTGCATTTCAACAAAACATAAATGAATACACGTCGAAGAAAACAGTAAACTCTTACACGAAGCAGCATGAACACAACAAAATAGTAGTTTGCATTGACATGCAGAATTTACTAAGATTGCCGAGAATTTGAAGGTACACACAAATGATATTTTGGCATTTACATGGAAGTCATCTATCTGCAACATACGTGTGCTATTGTCTTGTATTTATGTTTAACACTTGCAAATATTTTAAAATGCTTGCATGTTCGTACATGAGACATGGCGACTTGAAAAACATTTTGCAAGTAAATGTGATTTTTTGAAAAATTCTCGGGAAAAAACACATTTCTTAAGATTTCATGTTTGATTGCGCAAGCAAGATTACATTTTTGTCGAGTGGCCTAGCTCAAATCGTACTCCGCATCTCAGCAAAAATTTGTGCACTTTGTAATTGATAACAATCAGGAAACTCTACTATGCGAACGTTTTGTAAGTTTCATTTAGATAATAAATAAAAACAAACCAATTCTTCAGTTCAATAATATTTCTGTTGTATACACCAGGCTCAGTAAAATGTTAGTTGGACTTAGCGGTATGAGTATTATTAAAGAAAAATAGTGTTAATAGTAAAATAAAATTAACAGTATAAGCTACAAAATAGGAATTTATCTGACTCGTTTAAAGTGATCACTGAATAATTTACTCTTGAGAGATACTTGCCAATGAATGATAGAATAGGAAACTCATCTTGCTTTTTCGGTTCACTAAGGAAATCATCTATCTCTCATGTTGTTTTTACAAGCATTAGAATTGTTTAATCTTATTCAACTTGTCATCAGCATGATGACGGCTGTTTACAACGTTATAATAACTTATCAAAATGATTGTACAGCTTCATAGTATAGAATTCATTTTTGTCAAGTAAATATACTTATAATCTTATCAGAAAGTGGTTAGATTTCCAGGTCTGGCATCTACCGGTATCAAACGAAAAGGACGAATGAATTTTCTTCTAGAGGTATTATCAAAACGATGTAAACTTCAATTGTAACAAATAATAGACAACGCAGAGGTAAACATCTCTTCATTTTTTTTCTTATGATAAACATTGATTTAGAATGATTAAGGAAGTCACTCTGAAGCTTACCTGACTGCCGAGTTGTGGTCGTAGTTGTTGTTGACGTTGATGTTAATGTCGATATTATTGTTGTTGTTTGCGGCAGTGTTGACGTTGATGATAATGTCGATATTGTTGTTGTTGTTGTTGTTTGCGGCAGTGTTGATGTTGATGTTGTTAATGATGCTGTTGTCATTGCTGATGATGGTGTTGCAGTGGTGGTTGCTGGCTCTTTCGGTATAAGAATAGCGAATTTTAACACCAGGGAAAGAGTAACTGCAAATATTATTAAAACGATAAAAGATATGCCGATGATCTTAGCCCATCGGTGATGCCACCATTTGTGTGGTCCATTGTTCTCATTGACATACTTACTATAAGCTTGGTTGTGATGCATATTATGGTTTACAAGAAAGTTAAATTCAAAACAGAACGAGCTTTCATTCAAAACTACTTTATACTTGTTTGTCACTATCAGATGAGTAACAAGATATAAATGCTATTATCTTGAACACCAAAGGTAATGTTATATTCTTATCTCAAGATAGAACAAATCTTATATGTGAGTATGATATTGTAAAACAACACATCACTTCGAAGTGTTTTCACGTCAAATGTCCTTATTCTCAGGTCAATCATCCATGATCGTAAATGGATGTTTACTAATCAATTATCCAGTCAGACAAAAAAATGCGTTAAAAGTTTAACGAAAATAAAATCATAAAAAACGCACATTTTTACAATTTTATTTTCGTTCGAGCTATTTAACCCTAGTACGCCCAACATGGGTCATTTCTGACCCAGACATAAAACTTTGGAAATACACTATAATATTTTGGTAATTTCGGGTGTGGGTGGGTGTGGGTGTGGGTAAGGGTGTGGATTTTGTCTTAACTCCTTCATACATACACCCACACCCACACACCCCCACCCTAAAGCAGATTTTTTGTATTAGCTGTTCGAAATAAAGGACTAATATACTCTCAGTATTTTTTTCTATCAGATTGGATATAACACTAGCATCCTTTTGTCAGGATAATAGCCTTAGAATAGAGAAAATAATTTTATAGAAGCGTATATTGCTACTGTAGTGCGTAAAAAAGCACGGGCGTACTAGGGTTAATGTTCATTTGCAGTGTTCGTTTGTTCTTTTGTTACAAAAGGTTGTTGTTCAGCAAGACGAAATATTGCATGATTGTCAAGAATTTCAATACTTGGACGGTTTTTTGTAAATGTATTAAAACACATGGCTCGTGCAAGAACTTCAATTGGTGTTTTAATCCATTCAGGTGCAAAACGTTGTACAGTATTGCAAACTATTGCTCGTGCAAGACTTTCAAATGGATGATGTTCAAGACAATCAAGCATTATGATTCTAAGAAAAAGAAAACATTTCAATACAAAGAAAATCTAAAATAAAATAATTGATAAACGTTCAGATGACATTTGAGATAAGGCATTTTCTGTTTGACCCCTAGATAAAAAAATAGAATATATTCCTTCTGAATGTGTAGCATATAAAAACCATACTTTCACTTTAGGATAAAGAAATAAGGAATGTGCATCAGCACTTTGACTTGATAAAAGATGAAAATGTTTACAACCTACTTGCTTAGCAAGTCGAGCTGCTCCAACTATATAATCAAAATCTACACGATGAAAACCTTCCTAATCAATAAAAGAATGAAATCAAGCAATAAAAAATAGACAAAATCCATACTGCTCCTGTTTTGCCTCTTGTTGTACCCAGACAACAATAGTGTATATTAGCACCAAAAAATACATCAGGATAATCATCTATTTTCTCAAAAAAATATTTGATGTTGTTCCTAAATATGAAATTAAAAAAAAATATTCAATCAATTTTCTCGTATCTGTTCACGATCTTTATTCCTAATATTGAACAAATGTAACTTTTCATCGACTATTTCCAACATTAATATTATCACAAACAGCTCAGACTTATATAACATTTTTCATTTCTATCAAATAGGACTCATTTATTACGGATTTACTTGCCCAATAATCGTTATTCATCATATCCAACACTTTTGAAATTATTAATCAAGGAGAAAAGAGTGATACAACAATATTTATTTATTCCAAAAATTATGATACATTTAGACTGTTTTCTATCGAAAGAATATATTATACGATACTATCTATATACGCTTGACCTATCTAATGTTTACACGCTCACGTCAGTCTAGTCATAGTGATATGTATCCAAGATGAGGGTTAAACAAAACGAATGTCTATTCGAAAAAACGGTGGATGGCTTTTTTTGAAAAAATTTTGATAAAAACAAGATAGAGAGTTGAACTGCTTTTCCTTAGAAACACCAGATGAAGACGCATTGAACTGTATATTATAAAATCTTTTGATCTAGTTTTTTCAAGGATTTAAAGTAAAGCTTTTGAAAGCCATCGTACTCCGTACGGTGACTAAAAGAAATTTTTAATAATCAGATGTGTATTCGAGCATCTGCAAAACTACGAACGACTCAGATTTTAAGACTCGCTTGTTCAGGAGTTAAAAGTATTCTACTCAAAATTCTCAACTAATTTTTCAATTAATTTTTGTGATAAAAATCACAGTTTCGTGTTTTTCTTATCTTGTAAAAAACCAAAGAACCTCGCCGGATAAGATCACAAATCTGGCCCCATCTAGATTCGATTCTAATGATTTTAAAAAGAAAGCCTGCACATTTTTACATGTTTCTGTGCATTTTTTTTCCTTTTAAGACTATCATAGTGAGTCACCAGAAGGTATACTTTTTTTAGAGGTGGTATCCAACGCATATGTGTTTTCACACTATCATACATGTGTCTTGTGAGTTATTAAAACACCATATTTCTCGACTATTATATTAATTGTAATGTACCAAAAGATGCAGCAGAATCTGCTCTACAAAATGGTTATAAATGGTCGATAGTCAAGATGGATAAAGTGCGAAAAAATAGTATATCAATGCCAAGATAAATGTCCTGTTGTCACCCATTTTTTGAGAAAATCGAAAAAATCCATTCAGTTCAACAGACCGTTCTCTCTTACACTTCAAATGACATACCTGAAACTTTCCCAAAAATTTCTCCTGAAAATTCTCTACAAAATGATCTAATTTGAGTTCGAATAAATATGGCCCAAAGGACTTAATCAATCACAATGGAACCTTTGGTACTGATTATCAAGAAGATTGATCATGTTTAGGTCAAATCAAAGCTCTCACTGTCAAACTAATAAATTTAAAATATCATATGCCCATAGCGTAGCTAGAGCAAGTTATTTAAATTTCAAGGTATGTGAGATTTAGATATAAAACTGCACTAGGAAAGGTTGATTCCACTATTGTCAGGACAAAACATGGTGTTGTTCGGACCATATGAAAGAGGGCCCGACTAAACCTTCTAATCAGCCCGAACAACACTATGTTTTGTCCTGATAATAGTGGAGAAAATCTTTGCTGGTTCATTTTTATACCTAAATTTCATAAACCTTGAAATTTAAGTAGCTTGCTCTAGGGATGCTATGGGCATGTAATATTTTAAAATTTTTAATTTGGCAGTGAGAGCTTTCATTTGACTCGAATATATTCAATCTCCTTCACTGGCGGTAAGCAACCTTCCATCGTAAGATCTAACAATCCAAATGAATGCTATCATGATTGAGATCATTCAAGACATGCAATTAATGTTGTTTTTTGTTCTCTTTTATTTTCTTATTTGAAAAGTATTAATGATATAATTTCAGCAAAGTGAGAGAGAGAGAGAAAAAGGACAAAACGCAAAAGCAAAACAACGAATACACACATATGTGAGCAACCAAGAAATAAAGATAAAGATAGAGAAGGAAAAAAAAATAGTGTAAAAAAAAAACAAAAAAAGAAAATCACCATCGAACAGCACACACAACAACAATAAGAACAGTAGTAAAAAAAGGACGAGAAAAAGAAAAGTTGTTTACTTTTCTAATGTTGTATCAATTTTCCTTCTTTGTTTCTTTCTTTTTTGTTTTCAATTAATAGCTTAAAGAACAAACAAAAGAGATCAAATATAACTATGTATAATTAAGGAGAGAACAAAAAAAAAAAGAAAGAACTGCAATAATCTACACAAACAAAAAAACAATCTGAGCACAGCAAAATATTGTGTTGCTAAATAATGGAAGAAAACACACACCACACGAATAAGCCCAAAAGAAATAAAAGTGCCCATTATTTGAATATAACTACGAAATAGAGAATGATATATGATAAAAAATTTAATCTCGTATAACGAGTGATCGTCATTGACTAGGTGTAACATATGATGTTCTTGTTATGTTTTTTTTCTTCATTAAAGAATTATTATCTATATATATATGTATGTATCTGTATCATAAATCAATATAGTTTTGTAAACTATGATTTTAGAAAATTCATTAGATGAAAAAAAAAACAAAACGATCATTTATGATCGAAAGAAAGAAACAAATGCGAAAAGACCTTGATCAAATAGAAGAAAAGTTTATATATGTACTAAATCATTCTCTGTTCATTTTCGTTTCATTGAAAAAAATCCACCTGATTTCTTTTTGCCTGTCGGTGGTTGTTGGGATGAACTCGATGAAACTTGAGGTTCAACTGATGAACTTGAACGTAACGGTAATGTTCGTGATTTTTGTTCGCCACCTGATGAGGTTTGAGACATTTGCATACCTAAACAAAACAAAAAAAAATGATTGAAATTAAATTTGAATAACATAATGATGAATTTCGAGTCTATTTCTAATACAGTAATCGTCAAAAATCCGTCTACCAAGTAAAACGTAAATAAATTTCGGTAAACTCTGATATATTCTATTATTGACAAACAAAACTTCTTATGTCTTGAGTATGTTACAGATAGGAGACACTTGCCTGCTGAAATCTTCAAGTGTAGTGACATTTCTAATATTTCGGACGGCTTTCGAAAATCTCTGCTGTATCAATGGCTGTAATCATGAAATTTTAAGGTAAATGGTATAAAATACTCGAAATTACAAGTTACTCTTCTGAAAGAATGCTACTAACTCTTATGCTAAAAATATTCAAAGATAGTTTCAGGACTGATTGTGACATTTGATGAGAATGCTGAAATATTCTCGTCTAAATGAAAGAAACCAATATGAGAATTCTAGTACTGTCACCTAAAGGTTAGTCAAATACTAATTGTGGGTATGAGTTCTAATCTTCTCCTCACCCACACCTTCAAAGGCATTTTCAGAAATTCTTGTCTGTTTGGGATAATTCAAATTTCAGACGAAATAAGCGAAAATCCTATTCGAATAGGTCAGATTTTATCAGAAGAATTCTTGTGATACTATTAAATATTACAATTATTTTCTACCTGTTGTACTTGATATCATAGTAGATGCTGGTTGATGATGAGGAGAACTAGTTGATGATGATGATGATGGTCCTATTATTGTTGGTGGTGATGTTAAAGCAACTGATGGTATTTGTGTTGTTTGTGTTGTTGGTGTATTTGTTATTGATGATGATGATGATATGTAATTATTTATTGCCATAATCCATTCATTCATTTCAATATCATCTCGAGCATGAAATAAATATTCATTACCATCTTGAAATTTCAAACGAAATACATTTGGTTTTTTACGATAATCTGTTGCTGGTGCAACATTAGTTGATGAATCTAATGGTAAATCATCTGTTATTGTACGACCTGTTTTTAAATGTTTAGCATCTTTATAAAATGTTAAACGATTGCTTATTAATGCTGTATAATATTTTTCCCATGCACGATGTGTTGCTTTACGTTCATATCCTTCCCATTCATGTTTACGTGATAAGAAACCTTCTTTTGTTGTTGGTAAACGTGTTGCTGATTCTGATCGTCGTTGTTTATTATTTATGGATTCTAAATCTTGACTAGATTGTTGTTTACCTGGTAATATTATTGAACGACCAGCATCTGTTGAAGTTTTTTCTTCTATAATTGTTGATGGAATTTTTGTTTTATCTATTATTATTGATGGTCGTTCAGCATCACGTTCATCCCATGTTTTAAATTCTTCTAAATATAATGGTAAACGACTTTGACGAGGTTCAACTGGTGGTAGTTGTCGTTTTTTTTCTAATGTTGTTAAATTACGTAAAGCATTAAAACGATCTTCTTGTGCTAATAAAGATTTTTCAAATTGTTCATGACGTTTTATTAAATTTTCAACTTGATCTAATGTGTCACCAAGTTCTTCATTAGCTAAATAAGATTCTTGAGCAATTAACCATGTTTCAGCAATAGCTGCATCACGTGCAAATTGATAAACTTCTAATATAAGTTGTAAATATTCCCAACGTTCATTCCATGTATCATCAACATGATCAC